GCATCACTCTCTCAAGCCCCTGCTGTTCAGCGTTCAAGAGTGGACACCAGAATACTGCATGCCTTCAGGGGAAGTTGCTTACTTTTCCTAGAGGTAAAATGGCCCAGTGCCGAGGCTTGGGGAGGAGCCCTGAGTTTACAGCCCTTGAAGGAAAAAGGTCTGGGCAGTTGGAGGTGATATGCACTGAGGAGCTACACCTGCAATGGTATGCGCTGCCCCTAGCTGGGCAATCGTGGGCACCAGGGGAGGCCATGGCCATACAGAAGCTGGCCTTCTCTGGGATGAACTCTGCATGCTATCTCGGGCAGACCATTCCACTCCTCCGGGCCTGTGTCTCCTCATCTGTAAAATAAAGAGAGTGCACTGGATGGCTGTGAAAGCCTCTTTCGGCTCAAAAAGAATGTCATGGTCTCTTCCTTTCAATTGTATGTCCCCCAGAAGGAGAAAGGCCCATTGCTTGGAAGAGTGGCATGAAATGACAGGATTTCCCTGTGGTCACCATACTTTTACTGCAGGACTCATAACGTTCGTCTCACTTGCAAAGGAACATGAGAAAGTGCCTGCTAGGAAAAAGGAACTGTCTGAGGCAAAGGGTTCATTCTCTTTGGGTCACCCTACTGCCTTGACTAATTGGAAGGGAGCATTAGGAAAGTCCCAGATGTATTTTCCCAATTTCATGCAGCATTCTCAGGAAGAGGAGTGTGTGATGAGGGTTATGCTATGATATCTACTGCCTCCAGAGAGCCTCCACTCAAGGTTTGAGAGCCCTGCTCCAGGATCTATGCACCACTTTGTACTAACTCCCCTACTTCCATCAATAGGAGTCCCTGGGCTACAGAAATTTGAATTAGACAAAGTTGGATTTACCAATTAGGAAATCCAGTAAAGGACTCAATTTTTATTTATTTATCTATTTTTAGAGACACGGTCTTGCTGTGTTGCCCAGGCTGGAGTGCAATGGTATAATCATAGTTCATTGCAGCCTCAAACTCTTGAGCTCAACGCATCCTCCTGCCTCAACCTTCCAAGTAGCTGGGACTACAGGACAAATTTTTAAAAAAATTTTTAGAAACAGTGTCTTGCTATGTTGCCCAGGAAGGTCTCAAATGCTTGGCCTCAAGCGATCCTCCGGCCTCAGCTTCCCAAAGTGTTGAAATTATAGACGTGAGCTGCTGCATCTGGTCAGGATTCTATTTAAGCGTCATATTTTACCTTCAGGTTTTCAACAATTCCTAGAGCTACCAGCTCCAAATGATTGGATAGAAAAACAGTACATCCATATATGCTCAGAACATGCCCAATTTTAAATATAACACCCCATGATCAAAATTCAGGCAAATGTCTGTTCTTTTGAAAAAAAGTCAAACAAAACTCTGTTCTTCTATTTTGTATATATTTACAGTAACTTCTCTCTTTGTTTAAGATGTCACCTTTCACACCTATCTCAAGGGATACCCTTGTATTCTCAGCTAAAGAATTATTTCTAGTCCCTTCTTTCTTTGCCCTTTTTTTCAAAGTACTTGTAGTCCAAATAATGGCTTAGAATTTTGATTCTCAGGCACTTCCAAGTTATACCTCTAAGTTCTGATGACATCTATTTAAAACAAGATCCAAGTTATAGAAATCTAGTTTTAATCAAAGAGGCTTCTTGTCCCCTCAAATAGCTCAACTTCTCCCTGCTTAATTTGACCATAAAAATTACTCTTGTGAAAGCTCCTTGGCATATGTTCTTCAATGTGAAACAACTTTATAAAGCAATAGCATATCCAGAATTACTAGATTACTGCACAATGCTGAAGCTCCTGCACCCCTCCTGAGATCACATTCATAACTTTTCAGCCAAAACTAACTTCTGCAAAGACCATCTGTGACAGGTAAACGTTATTTGCTGACAGCTAATTTCTAAAGCCTTTTTATAAATTAATTTCCTTATATTACAATAATTCTTATCCATGTCTTAGGGAATTGGAAATGCGCTTTGAGAGAAATGCTGTTTAGAAGCCAGGCACAGTGGCTCGCGCCTCTAATCCCCAAACATTGGGAAGCTAAAGTGGAAGGATAGCTTGATGCCAGGAGTTTGAGACCAGCCTGGGCAACAGAGTGTGACCTCGTCTTGACAAAAAAACTAAAAATAAACAAATTAGCCTGGTGTGGTGACATGCGTTTGTAGTCCTAGCTGCAGAGTGAGACCCTGTCCCTAAAAAGAGACAGAGAGAGAGACATGCTTTTTCTGAGATCATTGTAGAAGACCTCCTCCTTTTAAAACGTAGACTGAGAGGAAGGTTGTTTCTTGTTTTTGTTTTGTTTTGGTGTTTATTTTTCTGTTGTTTTTTGAGCCAGGGTCTGGTTCTGTTGCCCAAGCTGGAGTACAGTGGTTCGATCACAGCTCGCTGCAGCCTCAACCTCGCAGGCTCAAGTGATCCTCCCACGCCAACCTCCTGAGTAGACGGGACTATAGGCATGTGCCAACATACTCAATTACATTTTTAAAATTTTTTGTAAAGATGGGATCTCACCATGTTATAGAGGCTGGTCTCTAACTGCTGGGCTCAAGTGATCCTCTCACCTTGTCTTCCCAAAGTGATAGAATTGCAGGTGTGAACCACTGCACCTGGCCAGAGGAAGTATTTATCTGCAGGAATGTGTTGCATATTTCCTGTCCCCATCCCACTATCTCTCCTTAAATCACTGGAACCTGGAAGAAGTAGATATGACTTGAAAATAATATAAATGTCTCTTGAAGACCTTATTCACGTATGAAAAAGAATATTCCTATTTTTGCTTCTTCCAGGCTGCCTGAGATGAAAAAAAAGTTCTGTTTGTGTGTGTCCAATTGGTTATGAATTAACTGTGGGATTTGTGTGCTGGATGTTGTTTGGCTTTGAGTCTCAGAGTGGCAAGACTGGATGGGGTATTGGCACCTTTATTTGTACAGACTCTGTAGCTCCAAGAGAACTTAAAGCATTGAGAAACCAGATGTTAACAAAAGGGAAAAGTTCAACAATGGGAAACAAGAAAGGCTGAGTTTCAAAATCACCCGGTGAGGATGGCAAGGGGCACCACAGATACATTACTGGATATTTCTCACTCCCATCAGAGACTGGGACTCCTGGGGAGGCAATGACCTCCTTACTGTAGAAATCTTAGATATAATCTAATCTAAGACTCTAACTGCCTTGCTAATGCTTGACATCCTTATGTGTGAAGGGAGAGAAGAAAGGAATAAAAAGTATCAGGCAGGCCGGGCGTGGTGGCTCACGCCTGTAATCCAAACACTTTGGGAGGCCGAGGCGGGGGTGGATCACCTGAGGTCAGGGTTTGAGACCAGCCTGGCCAACATGGTCAAAGCCCGTCTACACTAACAATACAAAAAATTAGCCGGGCATGGTGGCAGGCGGCTGTAGTTCCAGCTATTTGGGAGGATGAGGCAGGAGACTCACTTGAGCCTGGGAGGTGAAGGTTGCAGTGAGCCCAGGTCTCTCCACTGCACTCCAGCCTGGGCAACAACAGTGAAACTCTGTCTCAAAAAAAAAAAAAAATCTCAAAAAAAAAAAAAAAAAAAAAAAAAAAAAAAAAGTATGCTTTTCTGAGAAAACAGAGCCGCCCTTCAAACTGGGAGTATGTAACTGCTGTGAAACTTGTCTTTGATAACCCCCTCCAGCCCACCTCCTGCAAGAAGAAATTCTGGTATGACACCCTTATCTGAAGCCATTGCAATCATTTCATAGCATAAAATGTGTTCATAAAATTACTGCAAATGGCTAGAAATTGCTCAAAAGTAAAAGCTCTAAGAAAAAGTTCAATGTTTAAAAAATAGTGGGCTTGGCTTCCTCCCCCTCCTCCATTTTGGTTTGTATTGCTTCCTACTGAAGCAGATTTGTGTAAAGATTGCAGGCATAGCAAAGGTCTGACCGCTTTTCAATGAATGATTATTCTGGAACATTGCTCACCGACCATCTCTTGCTTTGAGCAGCATTAAACCAAAAGTTTCTCTTTCAATTTAATTGGCAGGAGCCAGGATTCTCTCAAAGATGTTGAAGGTGAAAAATACACTGGAAGGTGTAACTGCCCACTTCTTAGCTGGGGAAGCTACAGTAATAGGTTCTCCTGGCCTACTGGTGAAGAAAAGAGAGAGCACCTCTTTCTGGTCTTGATGGAGCCCCTTCTTGTGTCTCCCTTGAAGTTGCAGAACCTCTGGACCAGAATAGTTCCTATTCCTCTATCTCCTCCACAAAGTGGAGGGCAGGCTGCGTGTAGTGGCTCACACCTGTAATCCCAGCACTTTGGGAGGCTGGAGGCAGGACGATCCCTCGAGAACAGGAGTTTGAGATCACCCTCGGCACTGCAGTGAGACCCCTATCTCTACAAAATATACAACAGAAACTAGCTAGGCTTGGTGGTGCACCTGTAGTCCCAGCTACTCAGGAGGCTGAGGCAGGAGGATCGCTTGAGTCTAGGAGTTCGAGGGTGCAATGAGTTATGATCATGTAACTGCACTCCAGCCTGGGTGACAGAGAGAGACCTGTCAAAATAATAATAATAATAAAAAGGGCAGGGAGCAGAATTTGGAGAGTACTAGATGCACATTTAGCTGTCCCGTTCCCTCAAGGCTCTGTGAGTAGCCCCTCAATAAGTTTCTCTGAGTTCATGATTTAGCCTGAGCTCCTTAGCATGAATGGAACGTGGCCCTCCCTGGAAACGCACTGTTGTCTCACTAGACTCACCCCTTCCCATCCCGCACATTTGTATGTTCCCAGTGGGGCAGGGTGGAGGGTTGAGGATGGGGTAGGGGGAAATGTGGAAGGAAAATGTATGGGTCAATGTAAATCCATCACGGGCACTTGGCAAGCTCTGTGATGTGCAGGACATACTGATGGTGACTCAGGGATATTACCTGATGAGAAGAGGCCTCTTCACCATTCTACTCAAATTGCATTCCCTTAGCAATTCCCATCCGTATTCTACTGACCCCAATTGGCATCCAAAACCAACGTACTGTTAAGTCACATCTTTATTGAAAATACTAACATGTGGCCTACAAAAATAACAGGGCATTCGTCAACTTTGTTCATCTATCCATTTCATTTAACAAGTATCTAACGAATTACTTGATGCTGTGCTGTGCACAATTTCTATCTGGCAGGAAAGAACTTTGGAAAAACTGTCATGAAGACCTTACTTTAGAAAAAGGGACCTGCATAATAACTATTGATGACAGGGGCCCATGTGATGCGTACAGGAGCCAGGCCAATACGAGGCACAAGTGGCCTGGGTGGCATAGGTGCCATAGGTGGCCTGGGTGGCACAGGTGCCATGGGTGGCCTGGGTGGCATAGGCACCATGCGTGGCCCGGGTGGCACAGGTGCCATGGGTGGCCTGGGTGGCATACGCACCATGGGTGGCCTGGGTTGCATAGGGACCACGGGTGGCCTGGGTGGCACAGGTGCCATGGGTGGCCTGGGTTGCATAGGGACCATGGGTGGCCTGGGTGGCATAGGTGGTCTTGGTAGTTGTGGCGCCAGATGAACACACAAAGCAGGATCCAGAGAAGGAGTGGCATTATAGGGGCCACCCAAGAACACCTCCGCAGGGCGGGCCAGGGCGGCGGCAGCAATGTTTCTCAACATGAGCACCCTCTGATTTCGTTTCCACTTGGCTCTTCTGTTCTGAAACCAAACCTTCAGAGGGGAAAAATGAATTGGTTTAGTATTTTGAACAGCTAACGTCATAATAGAAAAAAACATGACATGCAATTCTATATGCCATTGAGACTTTAAACTGCAACAGGTGAAGCTATTTTCTTATTGATGAAATATCTTAGAGGAGTGAGGGAGGGGCGGGCTCAGATGTGCTAGTGGTCACCCCTGCTTAAACATAACCGAAGCCAACAGACGGCAAATTTTGGTAGGGGCCCATATTGGGTCTGTATTCTCAATACTGATTTCATAAAATAAGTATACTATATTTGCAAAGAAAAGGAGGGGAGTGTCTATTAAAAGTGTCTTTAGGGAAATTCATGCTGTAGAATTTGGAAATAGATGAGAATATTGTCTTTTTTCCTTCTTTGTATTTTCTGGCTCTTTCTTCCTTCAGAAATCCATTGAGAGGCCTATGTAAACCCTGGGAGGGAAAAAAAGCAGGTCAACAAACCTTTTTTCTTTTCCTCTGAGTTTACCTTGCTTCCCTGAGAAGGCAGAGGATACGTCATCCCAACCTGAGGCTAGGCCTGTGGCACATCAGGACTCCAGCATTCAGTGGTCTGCTTTGTTGGACTGCTTTTCCAGACATCACACCCACAGGCGTGCAGTGCATTTCCATCACTGCACTCACACACACACCCTGAGGCAAAGCTAATAAGCCCATTCTAACTTTTTTTTTTTTTTTGCAAATACTTCCTTGATGCAGCTATGGTCTTCTGTAATTTTAAACAGTCAACTTTTGATCTCGTGACCTGCAAAATTAGTCGTTACTGCCTGAGTAAATGAAAAGGTATTTTAAATCAACACAGGTAAGAATCTTGCCTGAATTGAGACACCCCCCCCAATCAATCAAATTCCAGAAAACCCACCTTTTCAAAATAATACCACCAAAAAGAATAAAACATCTAAGATGTTTTTTCTAAGGTGTTTACAAAAAGTGAACAATCTCTTATGCATTTGGTAGTTTCATAAAGTTGAATTTGTGTGACATCTGCAATGCATGTGTTTGACTGCATACAATTCTTCTCTAAGCTTTCCATCCTTCTTAGGTAAGGGGACTTTATTCAAATTCTTCTTTCTTTTTCTTTGTTTCATTTTTTAAAGACAGTTTTTCAAAGCTTACGAATGTTTCCCCCATTACCACTTAATTGCAATACGTTAGCAATGTTTTCAGGCTGACATCAAAATCTTTCAAAAAAATTAAAACTTAGGTCCGCCACTCTCTACTTAAGTACTGTGTTCTGTGTGTGAATTACTCCTTCATCCCAATGCCTAAATATAAATTCACTCATTTAGCTAAGTGCTTGTGCTTGGTTTTAAATATTTTAAATAATTTAGTACAGTTGAACTTTCTTATAAAACTCAGTTCTTCTGTGCATTAATTTGACTACTTCCGAGGTCAGATTGAGCCCCGAACATGACTCCATATAGAAGTGATCCTTTAGGGAAAACTAACATTCTCCCTAGAGAATACCAGTGTTAGAAGAAGGTTAATCTTATTTATTGGAATATATGTATGTATGTATGTGTATACATGTGCATATATGTGTATGTAAATGTATATATGTACATACACATGTGCATACACTATATGGAAGGAAAGACAGATACAGATAGATATAGGAGAACAGTCATGTTTTTCTTTAGAAAATCATATTTCCTCTGTTAACGAGCAATTTCCATAATCTGAAGTTTACATATCCTATTTTCTACCACCAAAGCCCCTACTGTTCAAAACTTATTTGCCAACCATGGAAAAGACAACAAAAAACACAAACTTGAGAATGTCCAGGACAAAACCTAAAGCATGCTTTAGAATGGCTGTCCTGCCAAATTGCTTTTTCAAGATTTACTGACCTGCACTCTGTCTTCAGTCAAATTCAGGCGTGCTGCAAGTCTTTCTCTTAGGGAAGAAAATTACAAATATTCAGTATTTGGAGTTGTGGATAAAATGAAATATGAATGTGGCTGGGTGCAGTGGCTTACGCCAGTAATCCCAGCACTTTGGGAGGCCGAAGACGGTGCTGAGGTCAGGAGTTCGAGACCAGCCTTGCCAGCATGGTGAAACCCTGTCTCTACTAAAAATACAAAAATTAGCCAGGCATGGTAGTGCATGCCTTTAATCTCAGCTACTCGGGAGGCTGAGGCAGGAGAATCGTTTGAACCCGGGAGGCAGAGGTTGCAGCCAGGAGAGATCACGCCACTGCTCTCCAGCCTGGGCCACAGAGTGAGACTCCGTCTCAAAAAAAAAAAAATATATATATATATATATATATATATATATGTGTGTGTGTGTATGTATATGAATGTACATTATTTCTATCCCCTACCTCCCAATGCAGTTTTCCCCCACCTCCCAGTGCACCTCCCTAATACGGTTGGGACTCGCTTTAGGGAAGTTTTTCCCATGAACGACTTTGCTGTTAAATAAGATAGAAAAAGGGAATATATGTAAAAGCGCCCGATGGTTTGTTAGCTGAATATGACTCAATTCTTCTGTTTGTGAAACAGCAGACAGCAACCCTGGAAATCTTTCCTTGGGAAGTCCGTCCGTGAAAAAAAAAAATGAAATGCCAAAACACCTTTAAAGCGCTGTATTGAACTACAGTATTTCTGTTTATTGTAAAAGGGAGAGGTGAACTCTCAGGGAGTGAACTCCAAACCACATCGGCCAAGCACGCCCTCGGGAAATTCTTTCTTGCTCTTTGCCGGGCGAAGGCTAAATACAACGAAGCCAGAAAGGTCCCCTAAACCCTACTCTGACCTGTCCAGGTGACCCCCGCCCCCAATTCCAGCCTGGCCAGAAAAGGCCTGCCCCTTCGTACACTACGGGGGCCGGTACGAGGAGGGCTCCGAAGAGGCCAGCGAAGGAAAGGGGTCTCTGGCTACCGAAAGCTCAAAAGTCCGCCTCCCGGTTGTAAAAGTGCGCTCCACGTGGCAGGGCGGTTACTAGAGCGAAAAGAGTGAGGCGCTCGCCACGCGCGCACAAGGTAAATGGCGCTTAAAAACTCAATACTATTTTAATGCAATATTAAAACGTATCAAAATTAATGCAAAAACAACCCATGATGAGCAAACTGCCAAAATTTTAAATAAAGGCGGGATCGGACCCTGCCTCACTCGCTTTACCCTAGTCCCGCCCCAGTCTTTTACATCCTCCGCGCCCCGCCCCCCACATCCCTCAAAAAGCAAGGGCGGAGCCAGCGCCCGTGAGCCCCGTACGTGGCTTTTGGCTCGGGAGGAGAGTGAAAGGGTCTCGGGATGAACTGGGCGCCTCCAGGGCAAGCCACTTACCGCGCCACAACGTCGGGGTATTGAGCTTCATCGAAAAAGTTCTCCAGCTCCTGCAGCTGAAACTGGGTGAACGCGGTGCGGCGGCGGCGTTTCCTCTCTGGGGGCTGTGGCCCCTCAGCGGTTTGTGGCCCCTCCGCCGGCTGTGGCCCTTCCACGGTTGCCTGGGGCGGCTCCTCCTGCTCTTGCTTCGGCTCGAGCAGGGGCGGCTCCTCCTGCTGTTGCTCCGGCTCGGGCAGGGGCGGCTCCTCCTGCTGTTGCTCCGGCTCGTGGCCACCGCCACCCTCACGGTCTTGGTCGTCCGAGGGGACGAACCCCACCGTGCCAACGTTGTTTTCTGCTTCTGCTCCGTACTCAGGTTCGGACCGTGCATTCTCCTCGTCCTCTCCTCCCCTTGCCATCAGCGAGGTCACGGTAAGTTTCTCATCTGGGAAGGGAGGAAAGCAAAAGAGAGACCCCAGGGCGTTGGAGCCCACGGCGCGAGGGCTGGAGGAGGCAGGGGACCCGCTATGGAAGAGCAACTGCGACAGCCGCGCAGCGTCCCGTCTGCTCGCCTCTCCCAGGGAAAAATTCCTCTTTTGGAGTTCGCGAAAGCTCCTGTCCCTGTCCAAGCACTAACCATTCACTTCCTCTATGTCCTCGCCGACTGCCAGGCTGCGGTAGCCCATATCACTGCACTCGCGAAGAGACTCCATGCTTCTAGTGCTGTCGATAAAGCCGTGCACTTCTGCAGACTCTGCGCGGGCTCCGCGGCGATCCCGGGGTTGGAACTGGCTCTGGGACCAATGGCTCGGGCGAGCGCTTTTCTGGCGCCGGGACCTCTTTCTGGCGCCGTCTGGCACTTGCGCGCCCTATATAGCGGTACGGTGCCTTCCGCAGGTTCAAAGCGTACGCACACGCGTCGGTTAAACGCCCCCTATTAGCATTCACAGTACATCTAGTTGTGAGTGCGACCCCGTGGGGACGCATTCGTGTCCAGGGCGTACAAAAAATAGGGCGAGCGTGCGCAAGCATGGTGCAGGTAGTGAGCATGCTGTGCGGGGAACAGTAGCTCCAAGTTGCCGCTTAACTAACTACTTCCAACTTGAGCGGAGACCGGGATTGGAAAAAGCGACTGGGTTGTGAAAGCCGATTTGGGGGCGAGGGGGTGGGTTGAGACCTCACACTAGCTTGTGGAGAGGTATTTTGGCAGTGTTCCTCCGCCCAACCCTCTTTACCTCGCAGCACTTGGGTGGAGCAATGCCCTTTGCTTCCCCCACGGAAAAGACCCAGAGATGGCGTTGAAGAAAGCGCGGAGCGTTCAGCAGCCCAAACATGCAAAAGTGAACTTGTTAGTCTACCATGCAGTTGGGTTCTGAGAACGAGTCTCCCCTACTAGAAATTGGTGACAAATGGATAGGACTATCTAGTTCTGTACAGTTCGCGCCAAAGTCAGGATAGTGATAAGGTGCAATGATTGGCTAGAAGGCTGCTTGCTCTGGATTTTTGAATTCAGAACCCACCGTGCATTCCGGGAGCGGGAATTTGGGGCTGAGTTTGAAGAGCAGTCCGCTGCTCAGGTGCACGCTGCAAGAAACCCAACGTGCTTTTTGAGAAAGCTCCAAAGACTTAAGATTTTCAGTAATGAACTTATGTCAGAGTGCAAGTATAGAAATCTGCTAAGTGCATAGTGCATCCAAGAATGCTTACACTACAGGGGCCCCGTCTTTTGATGCGCGGTACTTGCAACGTCTGCTGTGCTAGGTTGCTGTGCTTCTTATTGCAGCGCACTTTGCAGAAGCCCGTTCTGCAGGCTCCTAAAGCGCGCGTATTCCCCGGGCTTGTGCTGTGGACCTGGGAGAGTTCCCGCCTTCCCCACTACCCGTTCTTCCTCCTCCCCCCTCCGCTTTTCTGGAACTGTCTTCCTGAATTCTTGCTCCCCAGTGATGTATCACATTTAAAAGGCCGGGCTATGATTGAAGGCTATATGGTTCTCCCTCCAATAAGTGTTTGCAGGTTCCCCAGGACGTGTTAATATCCGTAATATTATAAAAATAGCTCTGTAGACTGTTACTAGGGAGGCTGAGGTGGAAGGATCGCTTGAGCCCGGGACGTCAAGGCTGCAGTGAGTCATGATCAGGATACTGCACTCCAGCCTGGACGACAGTAGACCCTGTCTCAAAAAATAAAAATAATTAAAATAAATTTTTTAAAAAGCCTGCTAATAATGGGCCCTATGCTTGGCACTGTACATGATTTATCTTACTTTCACCTTGATAACCACCATTATCATCCCCCATTTTTTAAAAAAATACAGAAGACTGGGCCCCAAAGAGCCAGGCAACTTGCCATTGGCAATGCATGCCAGTTTTAACTACAAAATGTGTGCACTTTTCACTATATTATGGCTGTCTTAATTCAAACGAGTAAATAATAGTGGGATTTCAGGTAAGAGTAGGAGGAGGTGGCGTTTGGGGGAGACATAACCTTTACAATTCCTGGGTGTGAGGGGTCTTCTCCTTCTTTTGCACACTAGTTCAGGCCTCTTCCCCTTGCTCCAGGGCCTCAGCTGGATGTCCCTAAACCACAGGGTTGGGATCCAGCACTTCTGGGTTCCCCCAGCCCACCACTTCACGTTTGCTCAATACTGAGAGGATATTAACAGGACAGGATACTGCATGCATTAGTTGCTGAGCTGGTGTCTGGAAGACCTGGTCAGGAGGGAGAGGTAATGAGGCTCACCCTCACTCTCACCCTCATGTCGGGGCCACATTATGACTTTCGTGGGTCCTAGGCATTTTTGCCTTCCTGGGCCCCTTCCTCCATTAGGAAAAAAAATTATATTTTACAGCTGTGTTGGTATAAGGATGAATATAATTTGGGATGGATTATATTAATTTTTTCTTATGACTTTAAAAGAAATTAAGATCTTTTCTTTTCTTTTCTTTTCCTGAGACAGAGTCTCGGTCTGTCGCCCAGGCTGGAGTGCAGTGATGCCCTCAGGGCTCAGGGCAGCTTTTATTTCCCCCGCTCAAGCGATCCTCCCAAATAGCTTGTACTACAGGCACGCGGGACACTGCTCTCGGCAAATTTTTTTGTTGTTGTTTTTAGTAGAGACGAGCTCTCTCTATGTAGTTCAGGCTGGTCTCTAACGCCTGGGCTCAAGCGGTCCTGCCTCCTTGGCCTCCCAAAGTGCTGGGATTACAGGCGTGAGCCACCGCGCCCAGTCAGTTAAGACATTTTCACAGTCCCCTAAAAGTGCGATGGGCCTAGGGCACTTCGACTACAGTGTCTAATTAATAACTCCTCCTGCCTCATATTCACTTGCAAAAAGATTTCAAGGGTTACAACCCTACAGCCTTTCTGATTTTAAGCAAGACATTTCCTCCTAAGGCTGGCTCCTGCTGAGTCTGCAGGCCTTCTTCTCTTTGGGCTCCATACCTGGCGAACAATTTTTGCCTGGGGTGTTATATCACACAAGAAATCCGTACAGGGTTTAATCAAGGTGTGCAGTAGCCTACCTAGTATAATTGGTAACAGTATGGGTGTGTTCTGTCACATCTTAGATTTCCATGGTTTACCAATGTTTTCTAAACCTCAGTCATTCAAGTGTCCCTTTGCAAGTTTTGTCGTATCTGGGTACCAGAGAGGACGATATTTACTTAACACGCTTACTTAAATTGATTTACTTTTTGAAAACCTTAAATACCTAATTAAATCTCATCCTAGGCAAAAATAGCTATGAATTCAAGATTTATGAACGCCAGATTTACATATACCAGATTTATGTCAAGCACAGCAATAGTTGAGAAGCAGGGACCCTGAAGCCAGACTGCTGGCTTTGCTTGCCGTTTGCTAAATAAGTAACTTGGTGGGTTGCATAATCTCCTTGTGCCTTAGTTTTCTCATCTGTAAAATGGGAATAATGGAAAGCACCTACTTCATGGAATTGTTGTGAGGATTAATTGAAATGATAATAGCTAACACTTAGCTAATTCTTACTATTCGATATATACTGTTAATATGTACAAAGCGCTGTTCAAAGTAAGATTAAATATTAACACATTTAACCCTCATAACCTTATGGAGGTAAATACTCTTATCCACATTTTACAGATGATGTTATTGAGTCGCAGAGAGGTTAATTTACCTAAAGGCATGCAGCTTGTAAGTAATGGACCTTGGATTTGAGCTAGCTTCTTAGAATGATGCTTTGTAGAGAGAACATGCTGTGGAATGGTAACTACTATGATTTTTAAAATTAAGTGTGCTATTCAGTGATTTCTAGTATAGTCACAGTGCTGTGCAACCATCACAATTATCTAATTTCAGAACGTTTTTAACACCCTATAAAGGAAGCCTGTAACCAATACCAGTCATTCCTCATTCTCTCCCTCTCTGTGGGCCCTGGTAACCAGTAATGTACTAGCTCTATGGATTTTCCTATTCTGGATATTTCATGTAAGTGGAATCATACAGTATGTGTCCAATTATGTCTGGTTTCTTTCACTTAGCATAGTGTTTTTGAGGTTCATTCATATTGTAGCATGTGTCAGCACTTCACTCCTTTTTATGTCTGAATAAAAATCCACTGTATAAGCTGTACCACATTTTGGTTATAGATCCATCAATTGATGGGCATTTGTGTTGTTTTCACCTTTTGATGATTGTGAGTAGTGCTGTTATGAGCATTCATGTACAAGTTTTGTTTGAATACCTGTTTTTCAATCTTTTGAGCATATACCTAGGAGCAAAAGGGCCGAATCATATGGAAATTCTATGTTGAACTTTCTGAGGAACTACTACATTGTTTTCCACAGCAGCTGTACCATTTTACGTTCCCACCAGCAGTACAGGAGGTTTACAATTTCTTCACATCCTTGCCAACACTTATTTTCCAGGTTTTAGTTTTTATCAAATCCATCCTAGTAGGTATGAAGTGGTGTCTCATTATTGTTTTGATTTGCATTATTCTAATGACTAATGATATTGAGCTATTGAGCTTCTTTTAATCTGCTTATTGGCTTTTTTGTTTGTTTGTTTGTTTGTTTTTTTGTTTTTGAGACGGAGTCTCACTCTGTCGCCCAGGCTGGAATGCAGTGGTGCGATCTCGGCTCACTGCAACTTCCACCTCCCGGGTTCAAGCAATTTTCCTTCCTTAGCCTCCCGAATAGATGGGACTACAGGCATCCACCATCACGCCCAGCTCATTTTTGTATTTTTAGTAGAGACGAGGTTTCACCATGTTAGCCAGGCTGGTCTTGAACTCCTGACCTCAGGTGATCTGCCTGCCTTGGCTTCCCAAAGTGTTGGGATTACAGGCGTGAACCACTGCGCCCGGCCTATTGGCTCTTTTTATATCTGAAGTTGCTGTCCCATACAGAGGCTCAGGGTGCCCTAGGTGTGGCTTTGGCACTACCGCACCGAGATGGCACACCTGCCTGCTTTGCTCTGGCTGAGGGCTAGCTGGCTGATGCAGGCTCTGATGCTTTACAGTAGGGACGTAATATTCAAAATGAAATTTCATGTTAAACTATTCCACTTATGAGAATTCCTTCTGCCAGGCAATATCCTCTTTGTAAATGAACTAATGACAGACCAGAGATTTTTTTTTTTTTTAATGGACTCTTGCTCTGTCGCCCAGGCTGGAGTGCAGTGGTGTGATCTCGGCTCACTGCAACCTCCACTTCCAGGGTTCAAGCGATTTTTCTGCCTCAGTCTCCCGAGTAGCTGGGACTACAGGCGCACTACTACACCCGGCTAATTTTTGTATTTTTAGTAGAGATGGGGTTT